GACAATTATATATAAACTGGAAAATATTTTGTCTCAATCCTGAATCATTTAGTTTGAAACATAATTTAAGCATACATTTTAATATCATTTACTTTCTGAAAATTAGGAAGACATTAATTTTATTTATTTGATGAACTTCAATTAAGTCAAACAGAGTAGTGAAATAATTACAAAGATCAAGCTCTGTCTTCAATTCTGCCCTGCCAATACACTAGGTCTGTGACCTTGAGCATGTCAATTAAAACTTTAACTTCAGTTTTTGCATTTGTAAGATGGGTAAAGCTTAAATGTATATCTATATTTGAATATTAAGTACAGCACAGTGCCTGGCACATAACATATCTCAGCAAAAGGAAGATCATAACAATATTATTTTGGCATCTAGAGAACTGTGTTTATGGCAGAATTGTATCAGACTATAAAAAAATGAGTGAGAATTGAAAGTGAAATTGTATTTTTGACTTCAGATTTAATACTAAGCAAGTACATCAGAAATTCTTAGTTTAGAAGTAGTTATCATTTTAAAATGCATTTTTAATATGAGAAATAATGACATATTTGGCAGCAAATCACTTAGCATGTAACCTCCTTTGTGTTGCTAAGTGTAAAACACTAAGCCTATTAGTGCCATTTCAGACGTGCTTCTTTTTTTAAATGAACACTTCTGGATTTCTTAAAATTCAATATCTTACATAGAGCCTTTCTCCTCCTCTTATTCTTGACAATTTAAATGTATGAAGGTACTAAGCCAGAAACACCTACAAAATCCTTATGCATACATACCTTCAATGTCTTTATTATCTGAGAATGAGTTATATATATTTTTTCATGTTGGCTGTTAGGCAGTTTGTAAAGCACTGTTTGCACTCAGTAGGGGTGTTGGTTGTTGCCTTTAGACACCTGGAAAAGATGGGAAATACTTCTGCAGATATTGTCTACTGAGAGTTTGCTGGAGACACAGTGAATCAGCAAGCACCTCAGTTTATCTCAAAGCAGACCACAGAAATCAGACTAACACAAATCATTTTTAGTCAGATCAGGACTGGAATGCACAAGTCTAGAATTGTACCCTTCCAAGAGATAGCATGAGCAATTAGGGTTTTATGGTTTTATGAATGTAAGGAGTGTCAACATAGTCCTCAAATCCCAAACAATTCCATTTCAGAAAAGTGTTTTGCAACTATATTAAGGTAGCACCTCCAAGCTTGCTGCTAAGGGCTAATGTTTTCTGTGTACAGGGAAATTGGCAAATTAACAGTTCATTGTTTTGTTTTAATTTGAAGGTGGAATATAAAATGCCTCCAGAGGTCTTGAAATGTCATTTTACAGAGATTCAAAATATAGATATTCCCTATATAAAAATGTGATATCCTTTTGAAATTCCCTGCTTAATATACCTTAATATTAAAATAAAGATCAGAGCAAATGTCACTGTAAATAAAATAATATGATTCAACTAATCAGAGTAATCATTAGCCTGTGGGCCACACTCATGTCCTAATCCAGCTCCTGAACGCATGGCTTCGCAATAAAACTCAGAAAAAATCTGGCCACAGTCTTCTCTTGGATGCCCTTGTGCTATGAACAACCTACTTATCACCATTGGTGCTCCTGAAACTAAGATTTCAGTGTCCTCTCTATGTACAGACTATGCTCTAGGCTATGAGCTATTTCTTCATGCACTGATATTTTAGAGTTTTATGATCATCATGATTATTTACAAATTGATTTATTTGAAAAAAAATAAAAAGAAACAGAAACAAATCTTCCATGTAATGTTTCATTCCCTAAATGCCCGTAATAGCCAGGGCTGTGGCCACAAAAAATCCAGGAGCTGGGAACTCAATCTAGGTTTCCCACATGGCTAGCATGGAGCCAGGTACTTGAGCCATTATCAACTGCCTCCCAGAGTGCACATTAGCAGGAAGCTGGAATCAGAAGTGGAGCCAGGACTTGAACCCAGGCAATCTGATACAGAATGTAGGTGTATCAAGTGGAATTTTAACTGCTGTGCCAAATGTTGGCCCCATCATTTTGATTTTTCAATGACCAATATAGAGAATGGCTGAGGAGATATTTGAATCTTTATTTGCTGATATCAATGTCAATGTACTTTTTAAGGATTTACTCATTTATTTGAAAGGCAGAGTGAGAGAGGGAGAGAGAAGGGGAGGAAGGGAGGGAAGGAGAGAGAGAGAGAAGAAGAAGGAGAAGAAGGAGAAGGAGAAGGAGAGAGAGAGAGAGAAAGAGAGAAAGAGAGAGAGAGAGGATCTTCCCTCTGCAGCTTCATTCCCTAAATGCCTGCAACAGTCTGGGCTAGGTTAGAAGTCAGAATGAAGTCAAGAGCCAGGAACTTCACTTGGTTCTCCTCTGTGGGTAGCAGGAACCCAAGTTTTTGACCCTTCATCTCTGCCTACCTAGATCAGAAGCACAGGTGGGGCTTGATCCCAGGCTCTCCATCTGATACGGGAGGCCCTAGGGTAGCTTAAGCCACTGTATCACAATGCCTGCCTCTCTATGTATTTTCTGTTAAAGCAAGTTTTTTTTTTTTTTTAATTTCTACCTCTTCTTCATAAAGTAAGGTATATCTGCTTAGGATTTTATTCTCCTGGCCGGCACCGCGCCTCACTAGGCTAATCATCCGCCTGCGGCACTGGTACTCCGGGTTCTAGTCCCGGTTGGGGTGCTGGTTCTGTCCCGGTTGTTCCTCTTCCAGTTCAGCTCTCTGCTGTGACCCAGGAAGGCAGTGGAGGATGGCCCAAGTGCTTGGGCCCCTGCACCTGGCTCCTGGCTTTGGATCCACGCAGTGCACTGGCCGTAGCTGCCATTTGGGGGGTGAACCAATGGAAGGAAACCTTTCTCTCTATCTCTCTCTCTCACTGTCCAACTCTGCCTGTCAAAAAAAAAAAATACTTTTTGGACAATCTTAAGTCTTATTTCAAGTTGTAAGGCTAGGACTTTAGCTCTCAGTAGGCTATAGGTTCTTTCAATTGACATGAGTTCATCCACTTTTGGTAGTACAGATGTGTGCAGTTTATAGTAATATCTTTGAATTTTTTCACAATGAGTAATCAGTGCCTTTCCCCTTTTTGATAAATGCTTTTTCTCCTTCTTAATACTCATTTTACAAAATATGTTTATATACAAATTTTATGACTCACATAAGAAATTTCTTATTAATTATTAAAGAGTGAAAAATTTAAAAAGCTGAAGAAAACAGGTGATGACAAATGGCAACCTAAAAACCAACTAAATTTATTTAATGACAAATGATACTTAAGTAGCTTGTGCTGTGAGGTTTACTAGTAATAAGATTCAGAGTTTAATTCTAGTTGCTTTACTTGTTTTCCATCACACTTAAACTCTTTGAGACTTTTTTTCTTTGTATGAGGAATAATAATTCAAACCTCATCTGATCATAATAGAGATTGTGAATGAGGGACTATGTTTAAATGGTTTGTCACACAGTACTTTGTTTGTGCAGCATGTATACTCAGTAGATGTTATTTTTCTTTGGTGAGCAAATAGAAAAACTGGAAAGTATTTTAAAATACTAAGCTCATCAATTTAAATTCCTGACTCTGAATTCTTAGGAGAAATCCCTATATTGGGAGCCAATAGTGTGGGTCTGGAGTCTCCAACATATTCTGGCAATTATGGGGACCCATAATGAGGAGGCAGTGGCAGGGCATGGAAGTCATGTGTGTGGTGAGCTGTATCTCTCAAAGCCAAGCTGCTGTCTTTCCTAGTAGGCTTCCAAAGACATCAAAATAGCAGGGCCATGATTCTATTTGAAGTGTCTGGATGGCACTGTTTGGCCAGGAGATCCCAGGGAGTGGGTCAGCCATTGTGTGAGCTTTCTGTTTGTGGACTGTCCCAGGGCATCAGAACCAACAAGAGATGTGGTTGTTCTCAAAGTTGTTGGAGATTCGCCTGAGTAAGTATGATACAATGCGGAGGGAAGGAAGTTCCCTCTGAATTAGTATTTTGTTTAGAGCCTATTTTTGAAAGTAAACTTATGCCTTCCTTTCCCACATCCTTACCAAAGTGACTTTGTTCACCATAAACTTGTTATAAAATGATGATTCTAAAGCAAGATGCATTTCCTTCCTTTTGCTAAAGACTTAATTAATCACCTAAAGGGCACATCTTTAAGGACAGCTGAAATATTATTCCCTGCCCCTTTCCTCAACCCAACCTTTTAGAAGATACTAAATTATCTGACTAAACCATTTACTATTTTATTTTCCTTTTGCTTTTTATGCATAGACCAAAACCACAAATAGAAAACACTTTTTTTTTAAGTGTAAAAACTACACCATGAGAGTATGTTGTGCACTTCTGGAAGATGTTTTAACTTTATCAGGCCAATAAAAGGGCATCCTGAAAAAAATATTAAATGCCAGACTGGCTGGTATTCAACTGTTAAAGTCAATTTCTATTTATGTGTCCAACCCACATGGACATCTTAAAAAGCACCTTCTATTACTTTCTCCTAAGAATTCAGTTTTCATAAGTCTGTATTACTCACCAAGGAGCAGTCACTGAAACTGGTCTGATGCTGTACACACACATACTATTTTCTTATTTTTCCTTTTGCCTTATCCCTGTGTTTCCTGAGAAAATGATACACAAACCCTAAGTTTGCAGAAGTGGAAGAAGTCTGGAGTTCTTTTTTGAGTGAAAACTTTTACTGACATTATATAGTTAATTTTCAAAGTTTATGGTTTATATTCTAGCTCTTCTATAACAATAGTGTGATATTGTCCACTGTAAGAAAACTGAAGTCAGACATTGAAAATAATACGGCAATATGATTAGAAAAATCTCTGCCTTCTTTGCTGATAGGTATTTCTGATAATCTTTGGCCTTTTGTGAGCTTTGAATGAGTGGATGTGGACTGTTTACCCAGTGGTGAATTGAGATCAACCTTATGCTCTCTAGTAAGATGGAGTTAAGGCTGTGATATTCACACCACATGTAACTCTTGTCTAGGTTTTGCAATGGAACGAATATGGTTGCCGCTGCTTCTAACAATTAGAGTGCTTCCCGGATCTGCTCAGTTCAATGGCTATAACTGTGATGCCAACCTCCACAGCAGATTTCCTGGTAAGTCTAAACCCAATCTATTCTTTAATTACTTCTGAGAGGAGTGATTATGTTTAAGTAGTCAATCATTTAAATATATATGGAAAACAAAGGGCCATCCCTTTACATTAAGTGGATATTAACAAATGGGAAATGACAAAGAGATATTTTTCTGGAGCTGTAATTTATGCCTACATTAACATACAAAGTGGTCATCATAGTTAATATTATTATAATGGCTGATCACAGATGTGAATGATATTGGCTAGTGGATAGTAAAATTGGGAGAGGCTAATTTCATTCAAAATTTGCCTGACAGCTTTTTCCTCTCATAAGTTAATTCAGATTTTTAAAACTACCTTTATATGCAAATAAATTTGTTTGGTAATAACGCTTAAGAAAATGACTTAAAATGTTATCCAATGTTCAAAAAATGTTGTTCATAACCAAAGTTCACAGCTTTGTTTCAGAATGAATTCCATAGAAGCCCATCAGTATTGTGACAGATAATAAGATTTTGAACATATTGAGATACATGATCCACAGAGTTAAAATCTATACTCATTGAGAAGGTAATCCACGTACCATTTAAATATTCATCATTTTATATTAGCTAGAATTATAGAACCACAGTTCTGCACTTGCGTAATAATGATTACACAATTTGAAAATATTTTTCCAAGTCTGCCACACAAATTATGTACCTTTGGCCATGTTTTACTTTCTCTAGCTGATGGTACATAAGGCAGAAGCACATTTGCATAGAAGTGTCAGTGGGGAGGTACACAAAGTGAAGTTATTATATCAGTGTAAAGACTAGACTGTATCTGAATGTCTCCATGAAGCTAGTACAGTAGTTCTTAGCATGTTAAGTAAAATGTAGAGTTCATGACAGGGTTGTCAACAGTAAAGTCTGTATAGGTATGGTAAGGCAGGGATTTATTGGTCTTACATACTCCCAAAAGAGTGCTTTTCCCCACTTTTTTGTTATGGAAAGTTTCAAACATATAGAAAAGTAGAGATAAGTAAAGAGAATATCCTACTGATTATCCAAGCTTTATTAGTTATCAATGTATATAGATTTTATGTCATCTCTCTTTTTTTTGACTTCTATCTCTGGAATATTTTTAAATAATTTCATTATTCATTCATTGGTATGTGTATCTAGTGGAAAAAACTTTAAAATCATTATACTTCATGTTTATATCAAATACACTTAATAATAATGCTATATAGTCTCTAATAGTCAGGCTACCTCTAATTTTTCCATTTGTTTTATAGAATTCCAACACTCTGGATTTAGCCAAACTAAGATTCAGTTATTTTGGCAAGAATTCTTTACATGCTATATCATGTACTGAAAGCATTTTGTGTTTATTTTGAAGGCATGAAGAGCCATTGAATGTTTTGAGACATACCTTGTTAAATTCTTGATGTGATCACATTTCATTATAGAAAGCAGACTTTAGAAAAAGTATGAAAGATAGAATCAAGTTGGAAAAAACTGGAGCAGAGAAAAATATGAAGGCAGTGACAATGTGAACAGCACAAAGAGACAATTGTTAGGAAAGATTTTTGTGGCAAACTCAACAGAACTTGAGAACTTATTAGCTTTGAGAGATGAAAGAAAGAGGAGACTAAAGCATATTTTGATCTTGGACAACTAGATGTTGATATTGTTAACTGTTGGCCAAAACATAGGATACTTGTACATTCCAGAAAGATAGCTTGGGTTTAGAAATAATGGATTCAAGGTAGTTTTAGAACATGTAGGAGAGGTTTCCATCCAAAAGTTGGAGACAGGGACCTTAGTCTGGGTAGAGAGGTTGAGCTTGAAGATAGCTATGAGAGTTGAATGAATAGGGGAAAAGAAAATGATAGATTTGTCAATGAACTGATATTTATTGATCTTTAGTGGTGTAGCAAAGAGAAGATCCTGAGCCAGAAACTGAAATGAGAAAAGAGTTTTTGTTTTTGTTTTGGACTAAAGAAGGCTGAGTACACATGAATAAAGCAAAAATATTCAGAAATCAAAGTACCAGTAATTAGTAATTCTAGGAATTGATGTAATGAGGAAAGAAAATTTAGAAGTGATCAATGGTATATGCAGAGGAATAAACCTTGGGAAGGAATAGCTATTTCTTTGGTTTGGGAGAGGAGAGATAAAGAGGCAGACAGAGAAGGCGAGAGATGAGATGTTCATTGTGCACAGGGAGGGAGTGGCCCTCAGGAAAGGGAGGCGCCAGAGGTCTGGCTGGGGTCCTGCAAAGGGTAGCCAAGCCATGACCCTATTCTGAGTGGGCATGAAGACCAAGATGTAAGAAGGCTGCCTAGCAGAGGATATGGCTGATGCTCTAGCTATAAACACTCGTAATGAGCCAGGAAGTACCTAGAAAAGCAAAACGAAGTATTTATCATATAGTAAACTTTTAAAAGATTATGTTAAAATCCATTTTTATGGTATATTCTGACTACCTGCATCAAAACCACTTATAGTTGTTAAAAAAATGTGGACCGTAACACTTTATCCCAAATATGTAGTGTTAGAATCTCTGGGTATGGTGTCGGGAATCTGTATCTCAAACTCTGTAATGAGTATAATGTACTCTAATGCATGAGAATATTGGGTCTTATATTCCATTATTTTCTTGAGTCCATTATTCCAACTAAAAGCACAATCATGCATTAGGGAAATATAATTAAAACAATATCTGCTCCCAAGACATAATTTGTCTCCACCAAAGTAGCAGAGAAACAAAACACTTCTAATATTGAACGTGCATTAACACCAGAAAGAAATGCACATTAAAGGCCATCATTGAGAATTCAAAGTCAGAAAGAAATCTTTTTTTTTTAAGATTTCTTTATGTATTTGAAAGGCAGAGTGATGGTCAGGGGTGGGAGAAGAAAAGGGGAATCCACTATGTACTGGTTCACTCTCCAAATGGCTGCAGGAGCCAGGACTGGGCCAGCATGAAAACAGAAGCCAGGTTCTGGTATCCTACATGGGCGGCAGGAGCCCAAGAACTTGGGTCATCTTCTGCTGCCTTCTCAGGTGCATTAGCAGGAAGCTGGATCAAAGTGGAAAAGCTGGGACTTGAATCTGCACTCCAATATATGATGGTGCCATTGCAATTAGTAGTACAACTCTGCACCACAGCACCCACCCAAAACTCTCTCCTTTTTAATATGGCCAGGCAGGTACACCAATATATATGTGGTTTGTCCCACATCCTAACTTTACCTGGCAATTGGAGTCATCATTGTTGTTAGTGCTTTGGCTTTATCCAGAGGAAAAATTAACTCCTCATATCTTTACAACAGGATGTGGTTTTGCAACTTGAAGAATCACATCAAATCAGGTTCTTATTTTCCCAATAGAAACTGGTAGATAGGGGCACCGACTCCCTTGATGTTCACATTTCAGAGATGGCTCTCAAGTCATCAAGAAAGACATTCCTAGGTCATAAATCTGACAAGGGTTCTACCTAGTTTTCCAAAGGATTTATATATATTTCAAGGAGAGAAGAAAGTACTTACCATTTCATGTTCTCAGCTGTAAATGCTCTGAGAAAAGAAAGGGAGGAGAAATATCTTCTGTTATTTTCAGTAGGGAGAAATAAGCTTCTCAAATTTGCATTTTTTATTATACAAGCTAGCACTTTCAGCACTGCCTTGCTTAGGCAAAAAATATCCAGACTTTTTGGATGTACATGAATACACACACTCCTTTTGCTGTAATTTAATTTTTCTATATTTTTATTTCATTAATTTTTAAAAATATTTATTTATTTGAAAGGCAGAAATACAGAAAGTTGGAGGGGAGTGAGAAAGAGAGAGATCAATCTTCCATCTGCTGGTTCACTCCCCAGATGGCTACAAGGACAGGTGCTGGGTCAGGTCAAAGCCAGGAGCCGGGACCTTCATATGGCTCTTCCACATGGGTGGCAGAGTTAGCGTATTTGAGCCATCTTCTGCTGCTTTTCCAGGTATGTGAGCAGGGAGCTGGATCTGAAATGGAACATCCAGCACTCAACTGGTACCCATATGAGATACTGGTTTTGCAGCTGGTGGTTTAACCTGCTACATCACAATGCTGCCCCCATTGTTACAATTTAAAAATTATAATTAAAAAGAAATCCCAAACTCTAAAATATGAAAAGAGTAAATGTCCAAAGAGGGGTTTAAGTTTATATAGGTATTATTTAGTAAGCATTTTTGCAAATTGCTTGCATAAGGAAGACCAGAGGGAACAAAGAAATCCTAAAGGTTAATTGTGACTGCCCTCTTGACTTTCCACTTCTCTTCCATATTAGAATCACCCTTGATGTCTGTAGGAGTTCCACAAACTGCTCAGATCCTAAGCAATGAGACAGAATGAGAATGAGTCTGGCAAAGGCGAAGAGCTTTCTAAATGCAAAGCAATGTTAATAATGACTAAAGTAATCATGTCACCCACTCTGACCTTAGCTGTTTCATGACATTAGAACTATTTTTTTTAATTTCCATGGAATTTTTCCTTGGACCAACAGAACACCATGGTCTAATTCATTTGAAGTTAAAGGGATACTATTTGATTTCAAAATTAGTTAACTCTTGTCTGTCCTTGCTCATAGCAAGGAGTAGATTTGTATACCACTAGAATTATAATTCTATTCTCCCCAGAATAAAATTCAAAGCAGAATATACTTTTAGATACCAAGGAACTAGTTGGTTTGAGTAAAATAATACAAAGAAATGTACCTGGCTTCTTTGATGGATACCTCTGGTACTAGTGTCCATTTTTGGAAGGGAAAGGTATGTGGGTTAAACTTTCTAGCCTCTAAAGAAATCTTGAGGGGCTGGCATTGTGGCATAGGAGGTAAAACCCCCACCTGCAATGTTGGCATCCCATATGGGCACTGATTCGAGTCCTGGCTGCTCCACTTATGGTCCAGCTAGTGGCTAATGTGCCTGGGAAAAGCAGTGTAAAATGGTCCAAGTATTTGGACCCCTGCACCCACATAGGAGACAAAGATCCT